ATAAACCTCAATATGTAAAATACAAATTCGACGAAATTCTACGTGCGCATGGCCATATTCCTTTACGTTTACCTCCTTACCATCCTGACCTAAACCCTATTTAACGTTACATTTAAGCTAGCTGACGTACAAAAACTCGCCGAGGAAGAATTCACTAATATTGATGCAAATGAGTGGAGAAAACGATGTTACCATGTCATTAAGAAGGAAGATGAGTATATGGACAGCGAGATAGTTGCTGATAACGCCACGCAAATAGCTCCAATTATTATAAATCTTGACAATTATTATTAACAATCCATTTATTTTCAAATAGATACCAGTTTTCAACACGGGTACTTGTTTTAGTATTATAATAAAACCCAAATATTAAAATTAAATAATTACTATACTAAATTAAATAATTAAATAAATTTAATTATTAAAGTTAAATAAATATTATAAACCAATGGCTTACTATTTAAATTAAATAAACCAAAATTACAATTTTATCTTTCTAATAATATATTAAAGCTTGCGAAAAATATTACTTTTTTAATAAAATTGTGTAATAATTATTTGACCTATACCGCTACGCTACTGAATATACTTATCAGAAATAGTAAACCAATAGGAAGAATCATAGGGCGTAAACATAATTTATTTCTCTGTGACGTTCTGCGTACTCTCTCGCCAAGTTAGCTGGCGATGATTGTACACCATATAACGGTTGCATCTCTGAGAATGATGCGCGTAGACCATAATCTTTGAGACGAGGATCGACAGAATATACGACGCGGCCAGGGTGACGTTCATAATAGCGTCGATAGAGATGGACTTTTCTAGAAAATTCTGGAACCCTGTATTTGTATATACAGTGGTGAGTGCGATATCACCCGGCATTTTAACGTAAGAGATAGAAAACACAGTTACCTTGTGAAATAAAAGGAGATGACACTCGTAGAGGTGGGAAATAATCGATAGAAACCTATAATTTACATTACATTGCATTACCACCATCGACAGTCTCACACCTTTAGACGTTAGACGTGGCTATTTGACTTCAGTCATAATTCTACGGATACCCTCAAAAATATTTTATTTTAATAATTTCTGATGTTAGAATAAATACTTGAATAAATTAAGATATGTTATAGTTAAAAACATTCATTAGTAGCGATTTTAAATTATAAATCTTTAAATTTACTTAATAGTAAAAATAACTCAACTGAAATATTTGACTAAAATAAAGGTGGGTATGTTTTGTCTGGAAACACTTAATGTATGTGAAATTGGTGTAGTCTTTAGGAACGTTGTCTATTGACGAGAAAATTGGGGTTCAATTCCACACCAAGGATAAAATTTTTGTTTTATCAATAAAAAAATAATAGAAAATATGATACATAATAGGTAACAAATTTTCGAAAAACTCATTATTTACAATTTATTTTTATTCCAATGTTATAAAACGGAAATACAAAATGATTCAAATTCAATTCATACAGTCTTCAGTTGTGAATGCAAAATAATCCGGTGAAGACTGTTTATATAAAATCCATCACTAAATTCTCAATGTTAATATCAATTCCTCTGTACAGATAATGATTTTCAAAACAATTGACAACATTGGAATGGATGCGCGCGAAGCAAAGCCTTTAAGCCATCAAATAATAACATATCGAGAAGTGTTTTTGCACGGTAAACAGAAACTTTTTATTGAAAAAACAATTCGTAAAAATGGTTTTAACGGTCGAGGAAAAAGTGCAAATTGTTGTCTGGCATGTGAATGGATTCTCAGACAACATGATTAGACAACAATTTGTAAATATGTTTCCAAATAGGCCGGCTCCATCACGATCAACAATTCAATCTATTATACGTAATTTTTTTACTTATGGATCCGTGTTCGCTCCAAGAGGAGTTCGTAGGCGAAGGGAGGTAAATCCAGATTTGGAACTAAGAGACACTTTGATTTGTGCAAGTATTGAGCAAAATCCTACCCAATCAACATCTCGTCTCGGAGAACAATATGGAATTTCAAGATTTAGAGTTGGTAAAATTTTGAAAAGGCATGGATACCGACTCTATAAACTTCATAAATCCAACGAACAATTCCCTGGGGATCAATATAGACGTTTAGAATTTTGTCAAACTGCAATGGAAATGTCACATCAAGATGAACATTTTTTAGAGAACGTCTTGTTCACCGATGAATGTACGTTTTCATTGCATGGCCGTCACAATTCAATGAATGCTCGGTATTGGTCCCGAGGAAATCCTCGTCAGATTTATGTTGCTCGTACCCAGCGTCCTCAAAAAGTAAATGTTTGGGGAGGCATAATAGGGAATCATGTCATTGGTCCATTTTTTATAGACGGTATGTTGACTGGGCGGAAATACTTGGAACTTCTGCAAAATCAAATTGTCCCAGCCCTTCGTAATTTACCAATTCCTTTCGATTCCATATGGTTTCAACACGATGGTTGTCCTGCACATAATTCTCGCATCGTCAGTGAATATCTCAGTGCGACTTTTCCTAATCGATTGATTAGTGGACACGGAGATATTTTTTGGCCTGCAAGATCACCTGATCTTGCACCTTGTGATTTTTTTATGTGGGGATATATCAAGTCCAAACTATATGGAATTGAAGACGATAGGCCTAATTCTCTCCAAGAATTAAGAGAAAAGATCTTTGATTCAATGAGAGGTATTAGTCCAGAAACATTAGCTAATGTTAGACGAAACTTTTATAATAGATTGGGTTATTGTTCTGCTGCTAATGGAGGCTTATTTGAACATTTTTTGTAAATATATTTCATTAGAATAAAATACGTTTATTTAGAATATTTTTATAGAATTTCTGCTTATTTCAACATTTTTTGTAAGTACATTTATTTAGAACGTTCTTTTATGTTTGAAGAATTTTTACTTTATTTTAGAAAGTACATTGTTTTTTCAATAAGATTTTCATGTTTTACTATAAACACTTCTAATAAAGACTGAAATAAATGTTTTATGATTTAGAGCAAAACGATATATCTGCATAATTTCAAATTTTTAAAAAAGTAAAAACTTTTTGTAGGACTTGAACCCTAACCGCCTGCATGAGTACATCGTGCCTTCAGCCCTGATCTATCAGACTTTTATAATTCTTTAGTGACAGTTTGGGTTATTATTCTGCTGCTAATGAAGGTTTATTTGAACATATTGTAAATACGTTTATTTACAATATTTTTTTATTTTTGTAAAATTTTTACTTATTTAAACATTCTTTTAATTTTGAAGAATTTTACTTTAGTTTCGAAAGTACAACGACACTATTTTTTCAATAAGATATTTATGTTTAACTTTAAACACTTCAAATACTAGTAACGACTGACATAAATATTTAGTGATTCAAAGCAAAACGATCTTTGCAAAATTTCAATTATTAAAAAAAGAAAAAAGAAAACCTCATGTAGGTTTTGAACTCTGATCATCTGCGTCGCAGAGTCGAATTCTTACCACTAATCAACGAGGGATTGCTAATTATTCTGTGACAAGAGTGTATGAAACTCCTAAAATCATAGTAGAAATTATTCTTGGTTAATAATTTAAAACTTTAGAATAAATAATCACTATTAATTAAATTATTTTATTCACATTTTTGCTTTATTGTGGCCAATCAGTTTTTACTTTATCTAAATTAAAAAATGGAAATACGTCACAAATACGACGTCAAACTGCCAAACATAATAATTATGACCGAGGTGATTTAGATCGAAGGTAACGTCTAAAGGTGTGAGACTATCGATAGTCGTAATGTAATGTAATGTAAATTATAGGTTTCTATCGATTATTTCCCACCTCTACGAGTTTCATCTCCTTTTATTTCACAAGGTAACTGTGTTTTCTATCTCTTACGTTAAAAAGCCGGCTGATATCGCACTCACCACTGTATAAAAGCCGCACTGAAATTAGTTTAGTAGTTGATAAGATATTATCGAACTGTAAGCTTATAAATAAGTATATTTACATAAATTAGAATCGCTCATTTTATTTAAACACGTTATAATATATTTTACGCTTTAGTCACATAATTAGTAAACATAACAAACAAGCGCAATTCTGTATGATATTTTTAAATTAAATCATATGCCAAGTAATATTTACTTCATTTGAAAATCCTTGTCACTCAGTATATACGTAGATCTCTCTGTGATTACGTTACATCGTTTTATCGATTCAACAGCGACATTTTCATTGTGGAAATTATCTTAATGGACTCCCATTAAAAAAATACAATTTTCCTAAATATTGTATTTATATGTATTACATTTATTTATTGTAATAAAAGTTGCATTTTACATTTGTTTGGAAGTTTCAATCTCCAATCGAGAAATCGTCTTCAAAAAAGATTATTATAAAATAAGAAGTTACTTTAAGCTGTAGTTGTTTATTAATTGGCGCGTTGTTTGGAAAAAAGCGCCAATTAATAAATAAGAACAGGTTAAAATAACTCCTTTTTTTCTAATAATAATTTTTTGAAAACCAGTTATGGTTTGGAGGTCGAAACATTAAAATAAATATAAAATGTATTTTTATATATAGAACCTCCTTATATTTTTTGTGTTAATAATATATTGAGTAATAAAAAATGTATGATATATCAGGTGCCATATAATATTATCAGCCAAGAAAATGTTGTTGTTCGTGCGTTTTCTGGAAAAGCTTAAGACTACTAAGTGATTAGGGATAGCGTACGGTCTGGATACATCAATTTTGATACCATGATACAAGAGCTTTCAAATTTTGTATTACTTGCCATATGATTCCATTCAACTAATTTTACAGATTGACGTCCGTCCGCCATTTTTAATGATTAAGTCACTAAAACAAAAATTATTAACATCTCGTTTTTAGCTTAGTTACCAAAAAATCTTTAGTTACAATTTTAAGTTTTATAGTTCAGAAAATAGTAGCCTGTAGACGCGCACTGTATTAAAACGTATAATCTATATTTATGTAGTTTTTTTTAGGGACATATTTTCTATTTTAAAAGAGCCAGAACTATTTCACGTTTTAAAAGATCTGCTTATTGAGACAGTGAAGGAAATTCAACCACTTCCAGAATGTATTGTCGGCCTCGATGCTAGAGGATTCCTATTTGGGCCTCTTTTGTCTCTAGAGTTTAATATACCATTTGTACCTATACGAAAACCGGGAAAGTTGCCTGGAGATCTTATCACTAGCACCTACAAGAAAGAATATGGAGAAGTAAGTTATTTCATATATATCTAAATTATTGTCTTCGCCTTCATAATATAAGGAAAAAAGCAATCAGACAGACGGACACAAGCAGTTCAAAACCATTCTTGATGTTTATGGTTTCTTCTTCTGCAACTTCTAACACCAATGGCTGGTGTTACGCTACCATGAGAGCTTCTTTCGCTCTATTCATCTTTTTTCTTTTTTTTTTCTTGTATTGTAAGGAGAAGTAGATGGTATTTAGGTCCTCTATGTCCTTTATAATGTTTAAGAGCAGTCAGTCTGTAGTCATCATTCGAAGAATATCTTTATTTGAAATGTACAAGGCCTACGATATATTTAGCATCCTGCGATAGCACCACGATTCACATGCTTCCAGTTTGTTCGGATTTGGGATTTTTTAATGTCCTTGTTTTTTAGCCATACAATAAAATAGACCACACATAACGTTCCAAAGCTGATATCCATATCATAAAGGCTTTCTGTAATATTTCAACGTCTGCGAAGGGCTACTCTTGGTTTGGTTGGAGAGCTGGATCATAAGTAAGTGAATAACAGATGGACTGGAAAGGGGTAACAACAAAAAAGAAATCAACAAGTACTTACATGGATTTTCTGGACAACACAACACAAGAAGGTTCATAAACTATTTAAATTTGGACGCCTACAAAAATCTTCCTGCATTTTATACCAACATTCAGAAGTATTAATGTTTTTGTCTAATTTTCTTTCGTTGCCTGGAGTAATTGCGTTAAATCTCAATTATGTAGTTGATTTATAAATGCGATTATCTCGAAAACTGTTGAGTTTTGAAGTTATTAACAAGTATACCTTTTTTGTTAAAATAATGTATCTTTAATATTTTTTTATCACAAACACCGGTAATTAAAGAGTGGCACCCTCTATCAGCTACATTAAAGTATGCATCAAATTTTAATTACTGATGTTCAATAGTACCCAGTTATGAATTTTTATACATAAATGTTTACAAACATGAAGATTATAGCGAAAATTAAAATTTTAAATGTCCTTTTTAACACCCTGTATCTTTCTTAATATCAACATTTTATTGAAGCAATTTGGCTTAAATCGTAATATTTTAAAGTGAAGAATCTACGGTTTCTTTTTGTACAATTACTTAAGGATCACCCTGTATAAACTCTATTTGAAAAAAGAAATACCAAACATACACATACATAAAAAAATTGCGAAACTGCAACAAGTAGAAGTGCAACAAGACTCTTAAGCTCTAAAGCAATAGGAAAATTAATTTAGAGACTAAAAGATATAAAAGAAAAGATCAGAAGAACTCACAATAAACTTTAAAAATAAATTAAAGAAATAGAACGTAATAATATAAAGAAAAAAATATAATGGTAAACCGTAACAAAATGATTTAAAATACAACTAATTTTTTTTTTCAAAAATAAAATAGATATTTGGTAATTTCAATTAATGGTTGGATCATCCAATCTACCAATATGTTTTTTTTAATCTGATCAATGTTTTAGGATTCCTTAGCACTGCAGTTAAATAGTATAACAGATGGTCAAAGAGTTTTAATCATTGATGATCTCTTAGCAACTGGAGGAACTTTAGAATGTGCTGTTCAAATGGTACAAAAGGCAGGGGGTAATGTTATAGCCTGCTTAGCACTCATAGAATTAGAAGAATTGAATGGTAGAAAATTAATAAAGAACGATATTATATCTTTAATTAAAATATAGTTTTAAATATTTAAGTTGTCTCATTAATCTTATATCCAAAAATTCTCAGAAACGATATACCTAGTTTTAAACAAACTACATTTTGTAAATCCCAATAAAAATACTTTATGTATACTGTAAATTGATCTTATGGAAGAATGGCATAAGTATATCCTAAAGATAAAAAAGAACTTGAATAGCTATATGTAGAATTTAGTACTAAATGTAAAGAAAATCTAAAGGAGGCTATTGAATGAAGCCAAAGAATTGGGGAACTGAGAAACATATAGGAAAACTCATACTAAATACAATAAAGAGATAAAAAGACCGAAAAGGATATTTTGGAGGAGGTTCTGATAGGCTATTTCAGATACATCTGTCAGCACTAGAATCCCCAAGATTCTTTTCAAGGATCCGACAGAGGGACTACTTAAAAGACTTAATGGCAACTTTGAGGCATATAAAAAAGGAAACCAGAACCACTTCCCAGGTTCAACAATTAATGATGAGCAGACTTAGGAAGAAAATCTACAACGACCTAAACGTTATAAAAAAGAAGACTGGGAATTTTCTGCAATAAACATCAAACCAAAGAATGTAAAGTAGGCCATAAACCACTTTTCTCCATTTCAATCTTCAGGGGAGGATGGAATATTTCCTGTCCTACTTCAAAAAGGATTGGACATCTTATTACCTATCCCAAAAAAGGTTTTTAGGGCTAGAGTAGCACTGAGCTATATACTTGGACATCTGTACGCGTGGTGTACATACACAAAATAGGACAAAAAGATAACGCCCTACCCAAATCTTACAAGCCGATCAGTTCTACATAATTTCTGTTGAAGACAATAGACAAAATTTTTGATAGACATTAAGGAATTTAGAAGCAAAATCAACAGACACAGCATTTGACGCAGTAGTTCAGAAAATCACTCTATCAATAATGTACCCCATCTATATGTAGAAGGCGCAGTTAATAATGCATTACCAAATTCTCTTTATAATGCAGCAACATGAAAAGGGATATCCGCTACAATATGCAACTGGATTTGATAGAGTATGACATGAAGGTATCCTCTACAAACTACCAGACCAACTATACTTTATACTAAAATCGTATCTTACTGACCGTTACTTCCAAGCCAAAGTTGAAGACAGCTACTCAAATTACCACATCATACAATCTGGCGTATCTCAGGGTAGCGTTTTGTGCCCATTTCTGTATCTGATATTTACAGCAGACGTTCCAACCAGCAATGATACCTTCTTATCTACTTTAGCTAATGACACGGGAATCTTGGCAGTCGATCTCGACCCTAATGTATTCATCACAAAAAGTACAAAATCATTTAGTCCAATTACAAAACTGGCTTAAGCGATGGAAGATCAGTGTTAATGCTAGCAAATCAGTACAAATTACTCTTACAACAAGAAAATCTACATGTCCACAAGTTAATAATACTCCCATTTCCATAAAATCAGTTGTCAAATACTTGGGATTGCATCTGGATGAAAAACTTACATGGACAACCTACATTAAAACTAAACGATAACAATTAGATCTTAAACTAAAAAATATGAACTGGCTATTTAACAAAGGGTCTCACTTATCTCTTGAAAATAAACTGCCTCTGTACAAAGCTATACTCATACCAGTTTGGGCATATGAAATAGAACTATGGGGTTGAGTAAACCTTCAAATACGAAGATAAAATAACCCATTACGTAAGGACATAAAGGATCACTCAATAAAATATAAAAATCCACTGATCACAACAACGAACTGATAAATAATTTATTCACCCAACCACTTGCAGAAAGAAGATTGAAGACAGTATGGCCAGAAGGCCTACCGCAATAATATTTAGAGAACCGTCACTGGACGATAGTGGCTAACTAAAGGTCGAACGCCGAAAGGCCAGGTAAACCAGGGTCCCGTCGGCATTTATTGTCGGGGGTACACGAATTTCTTCCTGTATCTTCCCATTATTGTCAATCATGTACTAAACGACATTATCTTGACTTATCCTTAAATATTACTCTTTTGTATAATTTATTGTGAGTTTTGTGATTTAAGAGCCGAAGAGAAAGTAAGTAAGAAAAACTTTTACTGAAAATTTCAATGCAGGTTTCCACCATCCTAAAAAGATCAGTGTCGTATTTGTTGTCATTATTACCACTGCAACCATTAATGAGAAAGCGTTGCTCAAGTTAGACAATAACGCGCATCACTTTTAGAACCGAAAAACTTGAAAGATTTAATTGATGCTGAATCTATTAGTGGACCAGACATATATGCCAATTTTGATATCCAGCAAGTTTTATTAGTACCCACTGATCCAAAAAAATATTGCACTCTCTTATAAATGCAGACTTGCTAAATATAACGTCACCATTTACAATGTTGTCACTAAGAAAGATTAAGGAGGTGTCAATCAAAATCAATCATGTCCATAAAAATCAAAAAATGAGTTAGCAGCTGTTTCATAATACAAAGAGTGAATCCTATTCTATGGTGTTTTTCGGTTTCGGTTAAAAAAAATCATGTCCTGTTTAAAATGAATACACAATATTAGGTTCCCAAATCCAATGAAATCATGTCCACAGTTGGTTTCAATCATACCACCACATGTCCATTCAGCTAATAGGAGTGCCCCGATTTGGTCACGTGATTTGACCATGTCAACACATTGTCTGTGTTTTCCCTCTAGGTTATGTCGATAGCGAGTATTGAGTTTGTATTGCACTGTGGTTTTAATTTTAATATTATTATAGTAGTTTTTATTAAATAAAATTGAAATTTTCCATGGATGAAGAAAACTTAGTGAGAGTGGGCGATGCCAATGAAGGATCTCGTAAAAATAAAAAGACTGTGGATAAAAAAACTAGGGCCAAGATTAAGCGATACAGTACTCCAGTGGGATGTCGTGTGTTTGTTTCATGTAAACACATGAACAAAGGTATGAAATGTGCATTAGTTAGGCCTATAGATGCTATTTTTGTTCGAAATATCCTCTACAAAATACCTGACAAAAACACGCAAGATAACACCATTGCCAGTTGGATAAATCAACGTAACATAAAGCGGCGAAGGCCTAGACCTACCTCTGAAAAATCAAAGGCTAAAAGTTTTAGTGTACAATATTCTATACTTTCATCAACCGGTAAAGTTATACCTCTGTGTAGGAAACTTTTCATGCATATTACCATGGTGAAGGGAACAAGATTGACTAATATTTTTAAAAAGGTGAAAGAGGGAAAGGCTGTTAAGGATCGGAGGGGTGGCGATAGGAAGAGTCACAAATCTGCTGCGAACAAGGAATCAGTCCGCCTTTTTTTGAGAAATTTAAGAGGAAAAGAAAGCCACTATAATCGAAAAAAATCGAAAAGGATTTATCTTGGTGCAGGCTTAAACATTAAGAAGTTGTGGCTAATATACAATGATTCTGTACTTGATAATCTTAAAGTTAAGAAATCTATGTTTAGGAGAGTTTTCAATGAATTAAATATCGGATTTTCATCACCAGCTTCTGACGTTTGCAGTACATGCAATAAAATAGATCTTCAGCTGAAAATTGAGAAGGCTAAAGCTGTGAAAGACTTGGTAGTGGTCAACCAATTTATGATGGAGAAAAGAATACACAGATTAAGAGCTAATGTTTTTTATGGGCTCTTAAAGGAAAACAAAGAAAATGAGGTTACTTTCTGTTTTGATCTCCAGCAAATTCAAGCACTTCCCAAAACTCCTATTCAAGACGCGTTCTACAAAAGACAATTAAGTTTTTACTCTTTTTGCATTGTAGCATCAAACGCACAAAACCCCATATTTTACGTATGGACTGAAGAACTTGCAGGAAGGGTGCGACCGAAGTTTCATCTGCACTTATAAATTTCTTGAACTCCGCTAATTTTTCAAATGTAACAAGACTGAATCTGTTCTTTGATGGTGTGCCGGTCAAAACAAAAACAATGCCGTTGTTCACACATTAGTGTATTACTTAGGATCAGTGCAAAATGCTTAGGAGGAGATTGTTCTAACATACCCTGTTCGCGGGCATAGCTTCCTCCCCGCTGATCGGGTGTTCGGAAGGGTTGAAAAGTTACTAAGGAAGCAGCCTACCATTGCAACAAAGTAAGAGTACTACAATGTATATAGTTCTGTTGGAGAAATACGGAAACTTGGAGAGCATTGGGGATTGATTGATGCTAAAAGTTTGGTTACACGATTTAAAAACATTGAAATGATATCTGAAGAGAAGAGGATTTTTGCGAGGAAAGAGAAAGCTGTCAACCGCAATGGACAAGAACTTACTGTTATCAAAGTGAAATCGGCATAGAATTTAGGTTTGAAAGTGATTTTGAAACCTACAACAAGCCTCAAAAAAAGGCTGGCATTCTGCAAGGTCGTTCTCAACTCCTGTAGAGTCACCTCCACTGAGCAATATAGTGAAAGCAGCTAAGAAGAAGAAGGACGTGGAGACGTTACTTGTGAAAATGTACGGTGATGACTGACAGAAAAATGACTTTTTATCTTGGTATAAGACCATAATAGTGGAAGTCCAGGACGACGAAATTGATGCTGACGAAGTGGACGAATCCTGTGATTTAAATTGTGATTTAAATTTTGTGGAAAGTGTCGTTGGTAAATGTTAGCCATTTTTCAAAATATTTTTTGTAACAATACAATAGATATTTTAAGTAGTCTAAGAGTTTTTTTATCAACCCCTTCTATCAACGTCCATGAAGTCAATCAAATAAGAACATGTCCTTTTTTTAAAAATGTATTTACAGGTTTATTTATACCTTCAGATTTGAAATATTTACTAAGAGTCAGTTAATTTCAATAATTTATCCGATTTTTCATGTAAGGTTATTTACTAATACGTTTTTTGCGATTTCCCTAAAACTTCTTAAGGTGGACATGATTGATTTTGATTGACACCTCCGATTATTTCATTTGTAATGAGATTCAATAATCCCAAGGAAGTTGTGAAATAGCCAGTGTATTTTATATTTATTTTAAATCACTACC